AATCGGTTGATAGCTCTGCGCCTCTTTTAACACGAACATCCATTACTGAGCGTCTTTGGTCAGATGATGCGATTATCAAATCGATCATCGACTTCTGTGCACAAGGTTCCTGGTACCAGGTATACACTGATGCACTCTTCGATGCTCAAGAAGATATCTATAATGGATAGTCCGCTGTTTGCACAAACGAGAAGCTGAAAACTTTATAAGCGTAATCAATTAACCCCAAAATGCATATGAAATTAGACTACTTACCGTGCGGAATAGCACACTTGGAATTGAAAAGAACGACGGGACGAAAGCCGCTACCCTGGTTTGAATCGTGGCTGATGATGACGTAAAGTTTATTGACTGATTTTCACGTCGCTTCCTCTGATTGGACCATATTAGCGTTGCCTTTCGTGTATTTATTACCCTCCCCTTTGCGGAAAAGGAGTAACGCGCATAATCTCGGTTCAAACATACTGATGAACATCAGGGCGTTGACACAACTGTTTGATAAGGACAAGCCTACTGACAGCGCAAGACCGTTATAGTTTTGTATTATAATGCTCAAAATCTGAAAATACGTTAAAACCGTTATACAGTGCAAACGAATAAGTTGGTTAATGGGATAAATGACCAGCACCGACGTTTCGGCTCATCCATCACGAGCCTTCATTAGAATGATTTGGGTTGGTGGTTGCATTTGGTTGTGTGGTCCTCAGTTGTTGTGGTGTCTGGAATCGAAGGTGTATTTTTGGCCCATCCTGCTAGTGAAGTCGTTGTTGAGTCACGGTCTTGATACGACTTCTCAAATCCGCGCATGTTGTTCCGGTTGATAGTTTTGCATGATTTCGTTTGTGTATAAATGAAACGTCTTTATGCAGTTTTCAGCATGAACGGGAACACATGAACAAATTTCTCAATCTTCAAATTACGATGCTCAGTCGTGATTATGCAGAACTTATTTAATACACAAATAACTGTACGTCCAGCTACATCTTTTATATGAAAACGCCCGTTTCATGTCGTTCGTGATCTACGTAAAGCCAATGGGTTTCCAGGGACAAACGGTTCTTTGTGGTGGTTAGAGCATGATTGTTCCATTATTCTTTCCTGCTGCAGTAACGACGTTGGAATGCAGAATTTGACCACTCACATTGTTACAGCATTTATTTTCTGTCTTTGGACCTATTATTCAAGAGAACAAAGGACTGCTGCTCACTGAGTGTGAAGAGTTGTCACAGTAACATTCAGACTCATATTTCGTTCGCCTTTATTTCCCAGTTACATTTCTGCAAATATGATTGTCGATCTGATATTGAAAATGGGCATACAATGCGATTTGCTAATAAAGAACGCAGGCAAGAGCATGGTCAAACGAATGATTGACCAACGCCAATTTTTCAGCTCGTGTTTCACGAGCATTCTTACAAAAATGGAGTTTGGAGTTTCAGTTTGTCAGATTGATCACATTATCTTTATCATTGTGTATTAATAAACTGTATTCAACTTTAACGCCAACGCACGTGTGAAACCTTCTATCTTCGGATAAATCAATTTTATGCTTGCAGTGTCCAATCAGGTAAGTCGTTTCTATATTAGCTGCAGAATTCAAGAAAAGATTACGTTTTCTAAAAAATATTAATGCAATTTTGAATTGCCTGATATAATCGCATAAAATGTAATTTTCGCTCACTCAGTTTGAGATGCAAATCTTTCC